CACCCAGGCGCCCCAATTTCATTTTTATAACAACCCTACAAGCAAATACTTCCATTGTCCCCATTTTACAGATGAGTAAATAGAGGTATAGAGTGGTTAATTTGTTCAAGGTCACCCAGCTAGTAAGGGGCAGAACTGAGATTTGAACTCAGACTATCTGGCTTCAGCAATTGAGCTTCCTTTTTTTTTTGATTTGGTATGAAATTAACTCTTTATTAAATATGCCTAGTGGCAATTTGTATCTCTTGTTTATTTGTCATGATGGTTAGATTGTAGTAAACTTTTTTGATTTATTTAAAAACTGTTTTAGGAGCTGAGCTCTTCATCACAGCTCTCTCCTTCTCAGATATAAAAACTGGTGCAGGGACTGTGGGAGGGAGCCCACTGCCCTGTTAGCCAAATCTGGACTCTCTCTTCATGATTCAGCTTGGTGACTGCCCTTTGGAAAACCTTGGACCTGGGTTGGGTGAGTGGACTGACATGAAGATCCACCCTTAGCATACATTAAGGGTGTGTGTGTGTATTAATGTAGACATAAATAAAAGGCTCATTTCTGACTTTGATTACTGACAGGAACAGCTGAAGTAGCCATAGTGTTAAATTCTTAGACAATCTGGATGTCATCTTTGTTTTAAAAATAGCAGGTGGCAAACTACACAAAAAACCCACAATAGGTGGCATTTTAAGCAGTGCCGGCCCTCCAGCTTGAGGGGAAAGTGGAAGACAGATATGCTTCTGCGGAAGCTCCTGTGGAAGCTCCTGTGGTCTATCAAGGAAGGTCGTGGCTCGGCGCTTGCCAGTCTCTTTCTCTTTAGCCAAGCCGGAGGCCCACATGCAGGCTTGGGGCAGAGGTGTGCCCATGGTTTGATTGACTGGCTTTCCTTTGCCCTGCACTTAAGAATCACTCTTCCCCTCCTTCTGAGTCACGTCCTGTCTATTTAACACGCCCTCAGGGCCCATCTTTTTCTTTAGTAAATGACTCTCTACCTTGCCATCAGAGTAGGCACGTGCCTGATGTCTGAGCAGATTTCGGAGGAATAGGGGGCTCAGGACTTAGGGCTCTTTCTGGGAATTCCGAGCCAGCCCTCGAATGACCTTTTTCTACTTGTGGCATGTGAGATTTTGAAAGTTAGTATCTGTCAGTGTCTGTTCCCCTCTGCCATTAACTGAGGAGCCATATGTTGTCAGGATAATGTACTTTATCTCGATTTGTGCTGCAGTCAGCATGCTGAAACGTGTCATCTCCATAAAGTACACCTTTGTGTTTTGGTAGAAGTCCTTAGACTTTCTGGATTCAGGTCTCCTTTTAGCAGATGATTGAACTGCAGGCTGAGGCTGATAGATTTGGATCCGGTTCTCTGCCTTTACTGTTCTGGTTTTGTTGTTCACAAAGTCCATTTCTTCTCTTAACACCCCTTATTCAAGTGTAATCTTTGCATCTAATCCCTTCACCTTTTCCTCACTGCCATATTCTGAGAGCCAGGGACCTCTGGGTAAACCCGGCCTTCGTCTCTCACCTGGATTCAGCCTCTTCTTTTTTTTTTTTTTTTTTAAGATTTTATTTATTTGACATAGAGTGAGAGAGAGAGAGAGCACAGGTGGGGGAAGGGTCAGAAGGAGAGGGAGAAGTAGACTCCCCTGCTGAGCAGGGAGCCCAAAGTGGGGCTTGATCCCAGGACCTCGGGCAGCCGGAGGCAGCTGCCCAACCAACTGAGCCACCCAGGCGCCCCACAGATTAACAGCTCTGTGAGCTTATTCTCTGTAGCTTCTGGGCCTTTGCACTTGCCAGCCCTGCTGTTTGGAATGCGCTGCCCCCTCCACCCTTTACCTACCTCTTTGTCCTTTATTTATTTATTTTAGAGATTTTATTTTTAAGTAGTCTCTACACCCAGTGTGGGGCTCGAACTACAACCCCAAGATCAAGAGTCGCATGCTCTACCGACTGAGCCACTCAGGAGCCCCCCCCCCAACCTCTTTGTCCTTTGGTCTCAGTTTAAATGTCTCTTAATTTGGGGTCCCCACTCCTTTTGTGCCTTTCCTCTGTGCTTCTGTGTTAAGACTTAGGCTGCGTTGTAATTGTCTATTTACTTGTCTGACTCTCCCGTGACTGTAAGTGCACTGATAACAGGGACCATGTCTTAATCATTATTGTATTCTACCCTTTAGGATAGTGCAAGGCACTGAATAGGCACTTTATGATGCGGTGGGGCATATAGAATGCATGAAATGTGGTGGGGAATCTCTCCCCATTTCAGTCTGACTTCCAAGCTGCTGTGAGAATTGTCTTCCAATGAGCAGCCTCAGTTCTGGCATTTACCATGTTTTATGGTGATTCCTCTGTTTACTTGCTGGCCTCTTTCACTGAGCTGACCCTCTGTAGAGGAGAGACCCTCCCTGACCATGGGATGAGGTGGGGGGCGGATGGGGAGTTGGGAGTGGGGTGAGCGGGGTGATAGAGTCTGATTTTGGAGCAAGGCTGACCTGGTTGAATCTTGATTCTGCGACTTACCAGCTGTGTGACTCTGGACAAATTGCTTAGCTAGTAGGACTTTTGGTTTTGTCGCCTGTACAATGAGGGTGACATTATCTTTTTTGTAGGAGTATCGAGCATTAGAGATAATGAGTTCATGGCGTGTAGCAGGGCACCTGTCATGTGAAGGATACTCAGTTAATATTTGCTTAGTAAATGAGTGCCATTCTGGAAAACACAATGAATAAGAAAAAGGCTTTGTTTTATTCAAGCTAGAATAAGCCTTTTGATCTCTGCCAGGTAGCCAGGAGCCTTCTTGAGGTGGGAGTAAAATTGGAAGAGTCTCTTTATAATGAAGCAATATAAAAGCTGAGACTAGGGACATCGTCAATGAGTAGCCTGTGCAAAATAGTTGATATTTCTCCCCATCTTTTGTGTTGTAATGACTCCTTTGATGGATCCCCTTTACGTGAGGTTGGCGGTGACCTTGGTGGCTATAGGTGGGGGTAGGTAAGTGGTAGATTTGTAATGTAGTTCAGGCTGTGGATGACTGGATGGGGTGTTTGAGGATTCATGTTCCCTGGTGTTTTATGGATTGAGAAATATTGGGTGAAGCTGATAGAACACATCTAGGCATTCAGGAAGCTGGACTTCTTGGCCCTAGTTTTCTTAGGGTTTTGATCTTGTGTCACAGAACAGGGCTTAACTCAGATGCTCCCCAGAAATAGGGCTGGTAGCTGGGAGTTCACTGTCCCTTCTTTGCCTTTTTGTTTTTAGTGTAGTTTATGGGGGTAGTTCTTAGGGCACCAGTTCCCAACAAACACCCGAGGAATGTGTCTCCAGAAGTATAGACCTCTTAATTGTATAATGCCAGGTGTGCTCCAGTTTGAGTTTACAGTCCAGATGAGGAAGATAGGTTTGAGTTTTTCGGAGGGCAGCCTTCTCGTCTGGTCCTTGAACCCCTGCCCCAGCCAGCTGCCTCTCCTCTGGGCTCTCAAAGCAGGTACCAAACTGTATTTGCAAGTGGCTGTTAACCTGTCTCTCTCCCACTCGGGGCAAGATCTTTTAACTCGGGAAGCTTCTTAGAGGCCCTCCGTGGTAGGTGCTGAGCAGTCCTGGTTACTGTGTGACCCAAACCGGTCCTTCCTTCTTGAAACGAAAGCAGGTCGGACCTATCCTCTGAACTCTTAGGAAGCAAGGTCCTGTGTAAACAAAAGGTGAGGGAATTAGCAATAGCATTACTAGTTATTGTCTAGAGTTGAGTTAATGTGGTTCAGTGATCTTCCAGGTGCTTGGCTTCAGCTGTTTCCCTTTTTAGCCTTCTTATGTTCTAGGAACACATCCCTACGCCAGCAGTAGAGGTTAAAAGCAGAGGTGAAGCACACACCGGTATATTTTCTTGCTAACCACCATCTTCCAACAAGTCTGACTGCTGGCATCCTCTTTGTTACTCATTAAGTTCCTGTGAGTGCCCCATAACCTGCTTGCTTTTCTGGCCGTATTGCTCATTGTCTGGGTGCGCTCCCCGCTCACAGCCAGGACCCACTACAACGTTGTTAATGCCTACACGAGTCAAAAGGACGAGACAAGTAGCTGAAAGTGACATGATGGGGTTTTCCCTGGGCTCTACCCCTTGCCCCTCAGTGTGGGAGTGCACGGAGCAGTGTGGCGTATCTTTGCCAATGGCGTCTTGGCAGGGCTGGTTAGCTGCTTCGTATGTTCAGCCGATTTGAGAGGAGATGGGGTGAGGCCAGCAGGACGGGGTTGTGCTGTGTACATTTAGGCTTCAGAGGGGCTGAGTCTCCTGCACTGGCCGTGAGTGTGAGAGTGGGACCTCTCGTTAGTTACTATCTCGTAAGTGCCAGCTGTCTGCGAGGTGACCTTTAGAAGCTGGAAAGGACACGGCCCCCCATTTGTGAAGAGCTCTGCTTTCCCAGTGAACTGTCGGGGGGACCTCCCTGAGGGCGGGGCCGGGAAGTCAGTCTAGACTGTGCTGGCCTCGCCGTGTGCCTCACTCAGCTAACAGTAGCATAGAACGCTGGGTTTATCATTTGGGGTACTGAACAGGCCTCTGCACCTTCCCAGGTAAGCCTGCGCGGACTTCAGTCTCAGAAGCCTTGGAGGGCCTTTACATCAGGGCAGAATCGTCAGGGCTTTCCTGTGGCTCCCTAGAGGAGGCTGCTTTCCATGCTTTGCCCTGGGATTGGAAACAGAGTTCTATCCCAGTTCTGTCTGTGGTCTTGGGCAAGTCACTGGTCTTCTCTGTCCCTTCAGAATGGGAGAACTCCACCTGTTCTTTGGGCCTCATTGGGCCACAAGAATCAAAGGACATACAATGGAAGGCAAGTGCTTCCAGGATGGTAAAGCACAGTGCACACGGAGGGGTTTTGTCCGTTTGTCCAGGAATGCTGTTTTCATCATAAGCATAATATGTGTCCTTGCATAAAATACCAGCCATACAGAAACATATGCAAAAGAAAAAGTGAAAAGACCCCCCCCCCTTTCTTCCCCCACTGCTCCTGTCTAAGCCCCTTTCCTAGAGACAGGGAACTATCCTGTTTCCTTCTAATCATTTTTGTGTGCTTCTAGACATTCCTCATGTATCTCTTGTACTAAAAACACAACTCAGTTGTAGTCCATGCTGTTCTTCAGCTTGCTCTCTTCACCTAACACTTTACCTGGGGTCAGGCAGCCCCTTTTGGAGCCTCCTTCCCAGCTCAGGGGCTTCCTCTGGGGCTGGGTCCTTGGGAGGGACAGAGAATCTTTACTAGAGGTTCTCACCATACCAGGCCTGCTGGTTATCTCTGAGGGGTGGTTTTTTATGCTGCGATGAAGTCGTCTGGCAGGAGTTCCCTGAGTGGGAATTGGGATGGTTCTAAACATGGTGTGGGCACCACCTCTTCCACCTCATAGGCGTTTCTCCCCGCTGCGCTTCTGGGCTCTGCGGCTGGGAAGAGAGTAAACTCACCTGATTTCTCAACCTCTGCTTCAGCGCACAGACAGTCCCTGGTTTCTGAAATCCGCCTGGATTTACCTAGGTTACTTGCTGCTCTGTGTTTTGAAAGCAAACCAGACCTGGCTGGTGTTTTTCGGTTTTATTTGGGGGCGAGGATTCCGAAGGGAGCCTGTCAATGGCCATGAATTCTTAGCAGTCTAGGGAAGAGGTCAGAGCCTATAGGAAGAGTTGTTCTTTCTTCTCGGTGGTCATCTCCCCCTCTGGGGTCAGGCCTTGGCCTTTTGGGCTCTGGGGCTGTTGTCAGAGTACTACGGGGAACCCCGGGATTAGGCAGTTGGGAATGATAAACCTAGGCTTGGGAGGTGGACCAGGCCCCCATGTGGTGCCAGGGTGGTCGCTGTTCTCCCTCCACCCTGAGTCGTCATTTCATCCGCAGGGCTTTCCAGACAGAAGAGGAATCCTTCTGGTTTTTCCTTGCCAACATGGTGCCCTCTCAGCACAAGCAGTACTTGCTGCTATATTTGCTGTAGGTCTCCTCTCCTGCCGCTCCAGGGGTCACATCTTGTGGGGTTTCTGGGACTCCGCCACTGCGGCTCCATTTGTCTTGAGATCTCTAAGCCACGGGGGGTCACTTCCCCTAGGGTGGTTCTGGAGGCTTTGGGAGAGATGTTTTCTGCTGTTCCCTCTCTGGGCACTGCTCGTTCTGAGCGGGTGGCATGGTCACTGCTGGGTGCGTGAGGAGCCTGGCTGCAGCATGGCCTTTATCCTTGCTCTCTGGGCTCCTCTGGGGCAGCTCCCTGGGAAGTGCCATCCCCCTGGCCTGTCAGAAACTGAAAGGTGGCACCGTGCCACCCCTTCCCACGGCTGGCCCAGCTCTGGGCCAGGTCACACACTGCCCCATTGTATGGTGCCTTCGATGCGCTTCTTGTCGCGGCCTCTGATCCCCGCGCCAGTCCTCTCCTGGCGCCTTGCCTCGGAGCCTGGGGGCGGTGGCGGGGTGGGCTCTGCTCACACAGGCCCGGGGTGGGTGGCCGTGGCAGCTGTGGCCGGCTTTGTTCTGACAGCCCCGCTTTCGGAGCTGTGTTGCGGCCTGGCAGCGGTGTCCAGGGAGAAGGCAAGGCAGGGGAGCGGCCCTCTGGCAGCCGTGCCCCCTTCCGCCACAGCTCCCCTCTCTGCGCTGACCAACCAGAGAGCCCTGTCACCTGGGGCCAGCCAGCTGGACTCACTGGTTGGCAGGGGGCGTGCTGCCCTTCCGCCTGGCATGATCTGTGGATGGGAGAAGGCCCCCGAGGGTCTAGTGGTAAGTCTGGAGGAGCTTCCCCTGTCAGAAGAGCCCAGTGTGTACCCTCAGGCGTCTTGCAGCTTGGCATTCCTTCTGCTCTCTCTTTGCAGCTCCGGAGTCGGGCTGCTCTCAACCAAGCTGTCTGTTTATATGGAGTGCCTGGAGGGCGTCTGCCATGAGTCTGTCGCTAACCGTGCTAACCAGGAGAGCTGGCTGGTTGGGCAGAAGACACTAACCCTGTGAGTCTGACCTGGGCCAGCTAACCTGCCCTGGGGGCACCACCAGCAGCGCCTCTTGTCACCCCCCACCCTCCCCCAGCCAGCCTGGCTGCCTCCTCCCTTTAGCTTACCTCATGCCTCCTCTGTTCTCTTGCCCTCGCTGTTGTCTCTCCATCTTCCCAGCCTCCTTGCTGTGGTGTGTGTGTGTGTGTGTGTGCGTGTGCGGGGGGGATATGTGTCTTCTCTAAGGCCGAGAGAGGGGGATTTCCTCTGCACAGACGCCTGCCCATCTGCCAGCCTGCTGCTGGCTTCTGCCGACCCCAAGCTCCCCTCAGTCAGTACCGTGCTGCCTAGCTCTCCCTTAAAACGATTGGTTAGAGTTTCTGTTCAATCTGCTCTCAGCATTATGGAATTTGAGACTTATCTCGCAGTGACCATGCTCTGTTTCACACCTCAGAGACAGATGCAGCCAGAGTGGGAGGGGAGTTTTCTTCTTGACTGGATAGTTGCTTCCCTTTGTCAAGTGGGGAAGACTGAATGGTGTCCCCATTATTCTCACCCCAGGATAATCATTTAGGATCAACTGCAAGGTTCTCCTTAAGGTTGGTGGGGGGGATTGAGGAAAACCGTGGCCTGGTTGTGGGAAACTCCCTGGGCAGAGAGTGAAGCTGAAAGGTAGAGTCTGGAACCAGGTACTCACCTGAGATGTAGCTCATGGCACCCATTGCTCTGGTAGGTGGAGTGGGTGGAGTTTGGCCCCCCACCGCCTTCCATGTGTGGAGCTTCAGGTGGACTTTAACTGAGAAGAGCTGGAAGGGCACCTCTGCCAGAGCAGGCGGGCCCTAGCTTTGGACTGCACAGTGGGCCTGGGAGAGGCCTTGGCCTCAGACTGGGAGACTGGTGACCAGCCTGCCTTAGAGAAGCTCCCACCAGACTCCCTTCTCCTTCCAGGGTTGGAAAGGAGAAGGGGGCTCTGGGGATAGCAGGAAGGCCGATTGCTCGGGGCTCCCTGGTGTTCTGCGCAGGTAGCTCCTTAGACAGCCTCTCTGGCTCCAGCCTCTGGAGTCCGTGCAGTACTGCCTAGGCTGCAGGGGGGGGGACTTGGGATCCGAAGGCCCTCTGGGTGGGCTGTTTCCCTTGGGCCAGGAGGGAGAAGCAGGGAGCTTCCTGCTAGTATGGGGTGTGAGAGGGTGTAAGGGCTGCCTGGATGTGTAGGGACCCTGAGTCGGGAGTAGCAAGCTGGAGGGGTGCCTGGTGGCTGGGCTCTGACCAGGAAAACGAGGGGCCTGCAGCGGCCCTTACCTTGCCTTTCCTTAGGCGATGGCATGGGGACTGTCAAGTGCTGGTTGATCTTGGGGACTTTTGTCCCTCTCTTTATTTAGGGGAGGTTCCTTGGATCATCATCAATAGTTGTCTTCAGTCCCTTTGTTCCTGTCAGGTGTTTGCTTGAGTGAGAGGCCAGCTGGATAGACTTGAGGTATTTGCTCAGGTGGGAGCCAGCTGAGCTCTCGAAGGTCCCCAGCACTAGTTTGGAGTCCTCAGGCTTACTCTGGGGCAGAATAATTCCCACCCACTTTTTAAAAACCTGTCAGTCGGTACCGCTTAGAGCAGGCAGGGGGCCAGGTCAGGGCCGCAGGCAGCTTGGCCCAAGAGGGTGAGGTTGTACTTGCCCAGAGGGGTGGCAGGCATGGCCGCTGGAGGGGCAGCAGGGCTGGTCTGGGCACAGCCTGGCATCTCCCAATCTAGTCATCGGCCCAGAGCAGAGCCTGCCCAGGCCCCACCCCATGCTCTGCTGGCTGCTTGCCTGCCACGCGCCCAGGATTGCTGAGGGCTTTGCTCATGTACCTCAGGAACAGCTGCGTGCCGGAAACTGGGGGCTGGCAGCAAGCAGGAGGGGCACCCGGGGGGGCGATGTGGGGGAGGGCTGAACCCAGCCAGCTTTGGTCGGGTGGGCTCGCCGTGCTGGGGGAGAGGGGCTGTATTAATGGTGGTTGGGGGGGGCTCCTTGCAGGCAATCTCCAGGGCCTCTGCTGGGTCGCCTGGCTACAGGGCTGGCCCTTGCAGGGTGATGGTTCGTGTTTCTTGGGCCTCAGTTGGATGCAGACCCTGAATTTCAGAGTCTTGAGAGGCAGCCAGGCTTGTATGGCAGGAGCGTGCCCTGCCCCCGAAGGCGCAGCTTCCTCCAGGCCCGCGGAGTTCAGGCTCTCTATCCAGGGCTTACAGCCGAGGATGATTCCCACAGAGGAGCACTAGGTCCTGTGTGACCAGACATTCACGTTTTAGCCATTGATGAGCGGCTTTAGGAAGGGCCTGTGTTTATTTTTGTTACTTATTTGTGTCGTGCTGGGTTCCACGGGGGGAATTAAGGCAGCATAAAACACAGCTGGAGTGTTCTGGAAAAGGGCCGGTTTCCTTTCATTCTTAAAGTGGTAGTGATTGCTAATTGAGTGATTTTGTTTGACTTTCTTCAGGTGAATTAGGAAGCGCTTTAATGATTTTTGTGGTGATGTGTGGCCCCTCCCTTGCTTGAATCGGTGACGGCTGTGAGAAAAAAGGCATATCAGTAGGTTCGGAAATGGTCTGAGCCCAGATAAACTGTTGGGGCCATAATTTCTTACAGAGTGTGGGTGATGTGGGGAGCAGGGGAGGCAGCCGGGCTCCCTAGGGCAAGGCAGGGGAACCAGGGCGGGTGGAGTGAGGTTGTGGAGCAGGACTTGGGCAGCTGGAGACCTCCGTGGGGGCAGACTGAAGTGTGAAAAGCCACGGAGCCACACCCATTTTGGTTTCACTCCTGTCTCCTTCCGTAGGGGCAACGCTGGAGGCTCGGACCTCCCTTCCTCTCCTGAACCTTTGACTTTGCCCTGGGCAGACCCACAGAAAAGATGGCAGAAGGAAGTAAGAGGGCGCCCTGAGCTCTTGGGCTTGAACCTTCTTTTTTTTTTTAAAGATTTTATTTATTTATTTGAGAGAATGAGAGACAGAGAGCACGAGAGGGAAGAGGGTCAGAGGGAGAAGCAGACCCCCGCTGAGCAGGGAGCCCGATGCGGGACTCGATCCCGGGACTCCAGGATCATGACCTGAGCCGAAGGCAGTCGCTTAACCAACTG